TTTTGTTGTGTCTTATGTGTTTGTTCAGTCTTTTGAGTAGTACCTTTTCGGCTACCTTACTCATTGTGTTGAGGAGGCTGATCGGTCTGTAGTTCTGTGGTATGTCTGGCTGTTTCTTGGCTTCACTATTGGAAATATGGTGGAGGTTTTCCAAGAAGCGGGAAAGCAGCCTTTTGTCATTATTCTATTTATTATCCGGGTAAGTAAAATGTAGGCGTTCGTCGGCAGTTGTTTAACTATTATGTTTTGAAGTCCGTCCGGTCCTGGTGCTTTTCTGTTCGGTATTTTTTTAACTATTGTCTTTATTTCGGAAACTGTGGCAGGGTCTATTCGTAAGTCTTTGTCCCTGTGGAGGTCAGTGAAGTTTTGAATTGTCTCGTGTACGTCTTGTTTCAGGTCTGCGTTTGACATATTGGCATTTTGTTTATGTATGTTCTCAAAGTTTTTTGCCAATATTTCCGCCTTGTCTGCTGGTGTCGTTGCCTAATTGTTGTCAGTTAATTTGAGTGGAGGTATGGATGATGGTTTCTGCATCAGTCTTTTTGCTGTCTGCCAAATTTTGTGTGGGTCAGTATTTATGTTCTCGAGTCTTTTGGTCCAAGTGTTATTTCGGTGGTCACGTATATCATTGGATATAATTTTGTCAGTCTGTTAACATGTTCCTTGAGTAGTCTGTCACCGGTACGTTGCCACAGTTTCTTTGTATGATTTTTAAGTTGTATTTTCAATAAAATGTGTTCTGGCAAGTCGTTGGCTGGTGTTGTTCTTAAGTCTAGTGTCGGTATGGTCTGTTGTACAGCGTCTGTGATTGTCAGTGTAAGGTGTGTTACAGCCTCCTCAATGTCAGTGTTGGTATCAATTGGCATAGTGTGTTGTGTGTTGTCTGTGATGGTGTCTCTGAAAAATGGCCAGTTGGCTCTGGTGTAATCTAAAAATTTGCGTTTGGGAGTCTGGTCGACGTCTAGTCTGTCTGAAATGGTCATGAAAACTGGATTATGGTCGGAGTTAAAAAGTGTTCTTGTTATGGGTTCGGATGTTACGTGTAGATTTTTTGTCAATGCCAAATCGATCGTGCTGTGATGGTGTGTCTGTACGGTGGCGTATCTGGTCGGCGTGTCAGGAAAGTGTAGTTGTGCGTCTGTGGTGTTGTGTTCGGTCAGGTATTCGTAAAGTCTGTTTCCGTTCGCGTTGTTGAAGTTACAGTTCCAAGTTGTGCGTTGTGCGTTAAAGTCTCCTACCATAAGAACAAATCTATTCGAGTCCAGTAGTCTTTGTAAGTCCGTATGTTCTAGTCTGCTTGCCGGGATGTAAATCGATATTATGGTTACTTTTTGACCTCTCTTGTATACATTAATAGCTGTTATTTCAGAACCGCCCGCTGTCAGGTTTGGCACTTGCTCGTGTCTGATGTTAGACTTAATCAAAATTGCAGTGCCGCCCCATCCGCGTGCGTCCGTCTGTCTGTCGTTTCTGTAAACTTTGTAATTGTTGATATAAAGTCTGTCCGTAGATTTTAGGTGTGTCTTGTTAATCATTACTATGTCCAGATCGTATTTTGTTATCGTCTGTCTCAGGGTGCGTTCGACTTGGACGCTTACGCGCTGTGAGCGCGCCGTGAGCGCGCTTTCATCGTTCGACTTGGCGCTGTGAGTGTCACATAAGTACGCTCGCACATATTTTGCGCTCATACGTGCTCACGCCACAGAGGTAGGGCAGCGTGAGCGTGAGCGTCAGTTGTTTTTACTATCTGTCGTTTCATTCATTTATTAATTGTCAAATTCTTTATAATCCCGCAAAAATGGCAAGCTGTATATCACAATTATTTTTTAATATTAATATTAATATTGATTAATTTTAAATTTAATTAATTTTAAATAATTTTGAATTTTAAATTTAATATTACTATTAATTAAGCATAAGCTAACCAAATTTTATTTATTTATTAATTATTAAATTCTTTATAATCCCGCAAAAATGCCAAGTTGTATATCACATTTATTTTTTAGTATTAATATTAATATTAAATTAATTAATTTTAAATTCAATTAATTTTAAATAATTTTAAATTTTAATTTTAATATTACTATTAATTAAGCATAAGCTAACCAAATTTAATTTATTTATTAATTGTTAAATTCTTTATAATCCCGCTGAATGATCCAGAAAGTACTAAAATTTACACAATTACCGTTACCGCCAGTTGCCGCCATTTTGATGCTTATTGACGCTCACAGTATCCAAAACGAACGGAATTTAGTTATCGATTCTGAGCGCTTATCGGCCTAGTCGAACGCTAAAAATTCGTGCTTATAAGCGTGAGCGCTCACAGCGCGTAAGCGTCCAAGTCGAATGCACCCTCAGTTCGTCAACGTTGTTTTTAAGTCCATTTGAATTGAAATGCATTATTTGTAAGTCTTGTGATTGGTTTATGGTGATGATGTAAGAAAGTTCAAATTGTTGTGTATTTGTCGTTATAAGTCATGTTTGTGTTTAGTGTTTTGTCAGTTTGTATAGCTCACTAAAAATTTGCTTTACTTGGGGATCCGCAAATAGTTTCCTGATCTCGCCCATAGCAGCAAACAGTCCTTCCGGAGTGTTGAGATCTGGATCTGGCTGGTTGGATGAACTCGACCGTTGATGGTGTTGGCCGGATCGGTGTTTGGTTGGTGGATAACCCAGGTCGTCAGCATGTTTTGCACGTTCTGATTTGCACGTTCTTTGGGAATGTCGAGGTGTTCCATGTATAATCTTCATACCGCCTCACATTATTGCCAACTCTTCAATAATTCTATTAGCAAACTTTCTACCGTTGTCCCATTGGAGAATGGGGAATATTATTTTTTGACCTCTCTTCACAAAAACCCTAGCATTAAGTGGTTAATAATCTATTTCGGTCACCGTATCCACTTGTCTAATGAGCATCGTGTATAATGTCATACGTCCCTTCAATTGTTGCAAAAAATTTATGCCACGATTCTTTTTATATTTTCAATTTTCAATCATTTTTTCATATTTTTCTACCCCTATCTTATCGTACCTTTTAAAAACGGCAATTATCTACATCACTTTTATTGTTTCTTTTGATTTTGCTGTCTTCACCTCCATTAATATTTTTTCATATTGATATTTACTAAATAAATATTATCTTGTTTTTTTTTTTTGACACAAATTTTAACTTTGTCTAATCCGAATTTCTGCACTCTTTGCTCTGTATTTTGAAACGGCTAGACCTGCCTATACCAAAAACTAATCAGTACGTCTTCACATCAATACGAATCGAATGTTTTTTGAATCATTCAAATCAGCTGATTTGTTCTTTCAAACCTGCTATTTCTTGCACTTTTTGCTCCGTATCTTTAAAACGGCTAGACCTACCTTCACCAAAAACTAATCAGCACGTCTTTTTTTCTTTCAAAAAAAGTAAATTTTAGTCAAAATTTATAGTTTCTCAAAAATCTAATTTTTACAGAGTAATTTTTTTCAAAAATGTCAATCTTTAAAAAAAATAATTGTTGGTACGGGAAGTTCCAGCAATTTGCCTTAAGGCAATATGCCATACACCACCAGCTAATATGTATTCTGTAGATGTGAGTTCCTGTATTCGTTCGGTACTAGGCATAGTGCCTTGTTTTCTATAGTCCGTAGTTCTGTAAGTACGGCTTTGTTGCCGTGTTTTACACAGAAGCAACGTACGTGACAAATGTAATAAATGCATATAAATTTTGTTTAACTATTGAACATCTTTACTTAGATATTTTCCGAGAATGCATAATATTCAAGTACTCTATTTAATTTTAATATTAATTAAGCCTATTTGGACTTATGGCATTGAACTTTATGGTTGTGCTTAGTAAGTCCAATATAGTTCAACGTGCCCAATCAGTGATTTTGAGACAAATCGTTGATGCCCCTTGGTTCATCAGCAATCAAACTATCCACAATGATCTTAACATTCCATATATTGTGGATGTAATTAGCACAAAATAGCCTTCACCCATCACTTAAAACTGGAAACACACCACCCAAACCACATAGTTTCAGCACTACTCGAGATCCCTAATTCTAGAAGACTGAAGAGGAAATTTCCATATGATTTATTTTATATTAATTTATTTAATTAACTAATTAGTTAACTGATTAATGGAATAGTTTTCTATTCTATTATTATATTTTTTTTTTCTTTTTATGATTTTTATGATTATTATTTCTATTTATTTGTTATTATTATTATAATTAGTTTTTTTTTTCAGTAATTTATTATTATTATTATTATTGTTATTTAAATAACAATGTAAGTAATTACTTACTTTATTCTGATTGTTACATATAAATTTAATAAAAAAAAATGATAATAATAATTGGTTGGGCTGGCTACCATCAGTACTTAATTTAAAAACGAACTGTAAAGTAAATAATTGTTATCTGACGATAACCGTTCCAAATTTTAATCTTACTAAATAAAAATACTGTGATTGGTATAAAACTATATTAATATCTTCAAACTTTTACAAATACAGCGGTGAATGAATATATACTTGTCGACTGTTCCGCTGCATTCTCTAGACTAACTTAAAAATTACTGGGTACAGTGTTCATACAGGAAGTATTTAGGTATAAAAATGAACCCTTGTGCGAAGGACACAGGCCAGAGGCTGCGTAATTCTAAGAATTGTAACACAAACCCGGTGCCAAGGCACGCTGCACTGAAAATGTTAAGCCGTCAGAATATATTCTGACCATATTGCGCCCCGAAAAAATTAAATTTATTCTACATATTATTTCCTATAGTTACTGTATATATGTACGAAATATTTCTAAACAAAGCTTAGTATTAGTATAAAGTTTCATGGTATATTGATACTATTGAAAATATTTTTTTTTGATATAAAGCCAAATAAATCCTATCTTAATCCTAGATTTCTTAATTAACATAATTGATAAGAATTTAACAATAACATATTTAATAAAAGTAATAAAAATAACATAATTAAGTAAAATTATTAATTAAAATCTCCATTTGGTAGTGGACATATTCTTGTTATAGGCCGCACATAAATTCCAGCTTTGGTTTTTACGGTTACTACGCGTACTTTACCATCAGTACCGGGATTTACGTTTGTGATACGCCCTAATAACCAATTTAGAGGTGGCAAGTTATCCTCCTTTAATAACACTACGTCATTTATTTTAATATTAGGTGTTTCTAATTGCCATTTGTATCGTTTTTGTAACAAACTTAAATAATCTATAGACCATTTTTTCCAAAACATATCTCTTAATCTTGTTAGATTTTGCCATAATGAAAGTCTGTTAATATTTATATCTACAAGTGCTGGTTCAGGAAAAGCAGTTAACGCGTCGCCTATTAGAAAGTGTCCGGGTGTTAAAAACGTGGGTTCAGATGGATTTTCATAGACGCCAGTGATTGGACGAGAATTTAAAACTGCCTCTATTTGAGTTAAAACGGTAGTAAATTCCTCGTAGGTTAGACAAGAACTCCCAATAACTCTGCGAATGTGATGTTTTGCGAGTTTAACCGCGCTTTCCCACAAACCTCCAAAATGAGGAGCATGAGGTGGACTGAATTTCCAAGCTATCCCCTCGATAGATGCAGCATCTACCAATTCTGATCTAATTTTATCACTTTTGAATAACTTATAAAGTTGATGCAACTCATGACGCGCTCCAATAAAATTTGTGCCATTATCGGAAAAAATTGTGTTGCATTTACCCCTGCGAGAAATGAACCGCTTCAAAGCCGCCATAAAAGCTTCAGTCGTCAAGCTAGTTACTAATTCTAAGTGAATAGCTTTTGTACAAAAACAAATAAATAACGCGATGTATGCTTTGCTTCGCTGTGCTTTCCGTACCTTACTCACTCGAAGTGTAAATGGACCGGCATAATCTATCCCCGTAGTTAGAAAAGGTCTGGATATGTTCACCCTTTCTTTTGGGAGATTTCCCATTATCTGTTGCATATTACGATTATCATGCCGGTAACATCGAACACAATTTTTAATTATTTGTTTGATTCTATTTCGGGCATTAATAGGCCAGAAACGAAGTCGAATATTTGCGAGAACGGTTTGCACACCGGCATGCAACAAGCGTTGATGTTCCTGTAACAATATCAAATCTGTCACGTGATTTTTTGCGGGAAGTATGATGGGAAATTTTTGATCATATGATATATTTGCCTTCTCCAGTCGCCCGCCCACTCGTAAAATATTTTGCTCATCAAGAAAGGGATTGAGCTCAAGTAAATGCTTGTCAATCGACACGTTTAGGACTCTGTTCTGAAGTTTATCTATCAGCGTTTTGAAATTTTCTAATTGGATTTTGCGAATAATTTGATTTGAAGCGAAATTTAATTCTTCAATTGTTAGTGGTCCGGCCATTCTTTGATGATTTGAAACGAAATTTAATTCTTCAATTGTTAGTGGTCCGACCATTCTTTGTATGCGAGATATCTTACTATTATTAATGAATCTTAAGCAAAAAGCAACAACACGCTGTAATTTATTAAAATTGGAAAATTTTGTGAAGATTTCGTTTAATAAAGGAGTGCACAAAAGGGTATTACGAATAAGTTCCTGCTCAGGCAAATTGGCAGTTTCATTAACATTAAATATTTCTGGCCAAAGATTTATATTTGATTTTAACCATTGAGGTCCACACCACCAAAGGTGGCAATCGCGTAGTTTAACACCAGTGACGCCGCGTGAAATAAGGTCAGCAGGATTATCGGCCGATGGAACATGTCGCCAAGTTACATTTGTACACTTTTGTATTTCGGAAACCCTATTTCCAACAAAAGACTTAAGTTTTGATGGGGAAGTATTAATCCAAGTGAGTGCAATACTTGAATCACTCCAGAAAAATATGTCATGAACCCTATGTTTAAAAATCTTGCATATAGAATTATATAACCTAACTAATAATAGTGTAGAGCAAAGTTCAAGACGGGGAAGTGTAACATGTTTGATCGGTGCGACTCGAGATTTGGAACATAGTAAATTGACAGAAGTATGTTGATTTTGATATACTGTGCGCACATATATGCAAGCGCCATATGCCTTTATCGAAGCATCACAAAAACCATGTAATTGTAAGTGACAAATTTCGCTTCGTAAAAATAAAGGACGTGGTATTTTTATGTCATTTAGAATAGTAATATCGCTTACAAATTGCGTCCAACGAGTAAGTATTGACTTGTCTGTGATTATATCGTCCCAACTAATTTTCAATTGCCATAAATCTTGCATCATTATTTTTGCAATTACCACAAAAGGGGAAATCAAACCAAGTGGGTCAAAAATTTTTGCAATTGATGATAAAATTTTTCGTTTGGTTAATTTTGTTTCGATAATAATTTCATTGGTACGGATTTCGAATGAATCTGAAACGCGGTTCCAACAAAGTCCCAATGCCTTTACGGAAGACTTATCATCCGTTATATCAAACATTTCAGAATGCTCATTTTCCAACGATGTAAATTTTAAAATTTTATCATCATTTGCAGCCCATTTATGGAGAGACATATTTGCTTTGGAAAATAATGCTATTAATTCGTCCCTTAATCTAACCGATTGCTCTAAAGTTTCGGAACCCGTTATTAAATCGTCCACGTAACAATCGTTACGCAGCGCTGCGCAAGCGAGTGGATAAGCCGAACCTTCATCGCAGATTAGTTTGTGCAAGCATCGTATTGCCAAGTATGGAGCGCAGGCAGTTCCATATGTGACAGTTGTTAATTTCAAACATTTTAAGGTTTCGTTTGGACCTTCGCGCCACAATATGCGTTGTAAATCTTGGTCTTCTTTTCTAACTCGAATTTGGCGAAACATTTTAACTATATCAGCTGTGAACACAAATTTGTAACATCTAAATTTATCAAAATCTCGAAAATACTTTGCTGCAACTTTGGACCCGTATAAAGTACGTCATTTAAAGAATTTCCGGTTGAAGTTACGGCAGAAGCATCGAAAACTACGCGGATCTTGTCAGAATCCCTTTTAAATACCGCATGGTGTGGTAGATAATAATGCATACCGGAGTGATCAAAATTTGTTACAGCTGCGTGACCTAATGCGATGTATTCGTTGATAAAATCAGAGTACTGTTTTTTTAAAATACTATTTCTTTTGAAGCGAGCTTCTAAATGCAAAAATCGACGTTTAGCTTGCTGTAATGATAAACCAAGATTTACATCAGCACTGGGCTTTAAAGGCAAAGCAACCACATAACTTCCATCAATATCTCTAGAAACATTTTCCAAAAAATGACGTTCGCAAATTTCATCGTCGCTTGATAACGAATAACTGTCATTTACCTCATCGATTTCCCAAAACCTTGCTATAGAGTTTGTTAGGTGGACGTGATTAATAGAAGCCGTTAAGTTATCAACTGGACCAGAATTATTTCCGAAGTTTCCAGCTACAGCCCAACCGAAAACTGTATTTTGTAACACTGGTTTATCTTTTCCAAGCATAATTTTCTCATTTAACAGAATTTCAAAAAATATGTCGACACCGATTAACAACTCGACTTCGTCTGGCTTATTAAAATTTTGATCTGATAAATATACATTTTTTGGTAAAGAAAAACTAGATCTCTCTATGTACTGTGACGGCAAATAATTTGATATTTTATTTAGGACGACAAATTTTGATTTTTTCTGAAAACTGCCACTACTATTTGAAATTGTGCAATAAATAAAATTACTGGATCGAACTGATGCGCCGTCAACGCCACTTAAAAGTAAATTTGAGCTATGTAATTTAAAACCGAGTTTATTAGCAAGATTTTTCGTTATGATACTAACTTCTGAACCCGAATCTAATAAGGCTCGTATTTTAAGAGTTTTGTTGTTTACACCTCGAATAATTAAAGTAACAGTAGGCAAAATAGTGCAATTAAAATCTATGTTGGTGTGCATAACATGCGATGCTGTAGCAGTCGAAGTTCCAGGTTTATCTACATTAGATGTGTCGCTAGGTTCATTTTCTTTCTCCGAATGTAAGGGTGTTATGACGTTTGGGGCAATTTTTACAATGAAACCGCACGAAACACCTTTTCTGAATGTGTCCCTTTCGGAGGCAATTTGTACACATATTGTTTTGCGATATAAATATTAATCTGTCGTCTACCGTCATACTTAAAAATTTTGCACAATTATTAATGACATGATTATCCTTACATAACGGACATGATTTAGAACTAATTTCTTCTTTAGAAAAAAATGTGCGCTTTTTTACAATTATATTTTTATTACTCGCTTCCGATTCAAGACCGTAAGAAATTTCTAATGCCGCCCGACTTTGTTCAAGAAAAGTAAATAATTCTGTAAGGGTCGGCAGATTTTTGTGCGCTCTATTAGAATTGAATTTAAGTCGCATAGAGAAATCCAGTTTATTCAATAGTAAAAATGTCAGTAAGGTATCCCAGTTATCAACACCAATGTCCAAAGCTTTGAGGGAATTAATAATTTGCTGAGCGGAATTAATGAATGTCTTTAATGTGTCCTTAGTTATGTTTGAAAGTTTCGGAAAATCAATAAATTGCTGTAAATATGTATAAGTTATGACACATTTATTTTCAAATTTACTTGTTAATGTATCCCACGCTACTTTGTAATTTGCGTCGCTTAGTTGCAAATTATTAATAGCCTCAGCGGCATCCCCGATAAGGTGTCCCTTTAAATGATAAAATTTTTGGACATCGGTTAAAGATTTATTGTTATTAATTGTTGATACAAATAAGTCCTTAAATCCCGTCCAATCTTTATAAGAGCCGTCAAATTGCGGGATATGTATATTGGGCAGTTTTATTTGCGCTTCGGGAGTTGCTTTAAATTTTGGTAGATTAGATGATTCCGCTATTAATCTGTCAATTTTGTACGATACGTTTTCATATAATGTTTGAATCACTGACGTCTTATCTGAATAATCATCTGAATAGTCATCTATTTATCCCATATTTTTTCGAATTCTAAAATTTTGCATCAAGACGTTTTTTTACATTTTCTAACAAATTAATTGGTTCATCATTAAAATTTGTATTCAATAAATTCTCAAAGTAATCTTTAATGTTTGCGCATTTTCTTAAAGTTTTTTCAATTCTGCCATTTTAGGTTATCTAAAATCTGACTGATTATAGTTTACAATGTTTAATACTTTGTTAAATAAAATATCTAATACCTGACGCGTTAACTGTTACAAATTTATAAATATGATTGTTTCAGAATGCTTATAATATACAATGAAATAACAATCGATGAATTATAACAGAAATCTAAAAATCTGTAGCGCTAAATATAATTAAATACAAAGCCTTTACGAACAAGTATTAGTTAAAAATGCCAATAACAAATAATAATCAGTGAATATAAATTAATAAAGAACGATTACAACCGTAGTCGTGAAGTTGGTCCAGGAAAGTATGAGCTGCTCTTCAGGAAGGTCCTCAAAGTCAGCACTCTGGATTCATCTGAATGTTTCTGGTATTGGATTGGCCTGGTTAGCACGCTGTCCAGGAAAGTATGAGCTGGTTCCTTTCTAAAGAGATGAAGTCAGCACTCTGGATGCAAATACCAAGTTACCAAAATATTGAGTCTCAATATTAATCGAAGATAATTTCAGTTGCTGATCTATCAGAAAATTGATCTGGTGTGCCGGATGTCCAGGAAAATATAAGCTGCTTCAGATGAAACACCAAAGATTGAAGTCAGCTCTCTGGTTTCAAAAAATGCACCACCGTCTCGGATATTAGATCACAAAAACAACCACGTAGAATCAATTGGCGGGAAAACACGTGCACTTATTAAATTTTATCACAGTTTATCGCGATACGTGCAAATTACGTGCTCATAACGCACCACCAATCAGAATTTAACACAAACACAGAATCTATATCAGTAAGTAATCCGTACAAAGTTCTATTATTTACCGGTATTCACTATACAAAGCACTAACCGGGCACTAGTTGAATTTATAACAAACTTAATATACGGCTCGAAGATGACCAATGGTTGGGCTGGCTACCATCAGTACTTAATTAAAAAGCGGACTGTAAAGTAAATAATTGTTATCTGACGATAACCGTTCAAAATTTTAATCTTACTGAATAAAAATACTGTGATTGGTATAAAACTATATTAATATCTTCAAACTTTTACAAATACAGCGGTGAATGAATATATACTTGTCGACTGTTCCGCTGCATTCTCTAGACTAACTTAAAAATTACTGGGTACAGTGTTCATACAGGAAGTATATAGGTATAAAAATGAACCCTTGTGCGAAGGACACAGGCCAGAGGCTGCGTAATTCTAAGAATTGTAACACAAACCCGGTGCCAAGGCACGCTGCACTGAAAATGTTAAGCCGTCAGAATATATTCTGACCAATAATAGAATCATGGCGCTCGTTAGATTTAAAGTTTATTGTTTTGTATTTCATTCTCATGTTTGATTATAACATTGCAGCATAACTTAATAATTTAATAATAAACATAACTTAATAATGATAATAATAATCTGCTTTTATAAACAAATAAATTTATAATCAAATTTTATAGCTCTGTGAAACTATGTTCAAAGGGAGAATTTGGTTTTTATGTTTTCAACATATTTGAATCGAGCGGCAAATAGATTTTAATTCTATAAATAAATAAACATATTTATTATATGCATAGATCTTTAAAACCTCAAATATTCGTTAAACATTATTAACTACTCTCTTGTCATTATTGCTATGACCAACATTAACTTTAATTTGTAATTTTTAGTAATTTAGAGAAGAATCTTGCACAGCAAATAAAAATTATTATATCTAGTTTAGTATCAATTGTTGATTTATAATGAACGATTGATTTTTTTTTCGAATAATACCGTGTAACATATTCTGTTGTTTAACTAATTACATTCTATTTGATGATATTGAATACTTTTGAATCAAAAGTTTTTTGTTGAAATTTTAATTTTCATGTAAATGGTCTGTGTCATTGCTTCAGAGAAGAAACCCTGCATTTATTCCAAGTTTTAAATGTTATCTTTTACATACCCGTAGCACTTTGTCGAAAGGGCATAAAATATTATAAACTGCGGATTTGTGTCGTTAAGTCCCATATTAACAAATTCGTTTTCATACTTTGAAAATGATTAATAATAATTTCAACAGTAAATAAATCATAAATGTTCTACTTACATCGAACTCTCAGTGCAAGTTGTGCACTGGGTGTTCGGCCTTGTGTGTTAGCTGCCAAGCAAGTAATATCGCCTGTCCAATTTCTGGCCACTTTTTGCAACGCCAGAGAGTTGGCACTAATGATTACCTTGGCACCCAAATCATGTCGTAATTCTGTACCCTGGCAATGAACAGAAAAAAACAAATATTTAATATAGTAAATTAATTTATTTTTTTCCACGTGTTAATATGTCTATTTTCGAACTAGGTGGATACAAGATAATATAAAGATATATTAATTTGAAACAAAATTTAACGTATTTAATGTAAATATGTTTTTTATTTCAAATTTATATATTCAATAATATTAAATTCAAAATATTATCTTAATTGCAAAATTGATGAAGAATGAAAATAAAGATTTTTTCATCTAATCTTAACAAAGAAATCAATTTTTCCTACTCTTTACTTCATTAAAAAACCTTGAATCAACTAGTTGGTTTGGTATTTAGCCTGGAGGCAAGTTACATGAACTTCCGATATGTTTAAATAATCGACTTAATCAATAAAAAATAATTAATTTATGAGTCATTAAAAGTATTCCGAGTGGATTTATTACACATAACTGAAAACGTACGAACACTTTGACTCGGAGTATTTTCTAAAAGCAAATTTTCAAAAATCAATAATTTAAAACTAATCACGACTACTGATAAAGTATGATATCTTTAAAACTATTTTCAAATTTTATAAATCCGCGCAGGCTTTTTTGCTAAAGCGTCGGATCTTAACAAATGCCAGGAAAGCTCATAAATTTTTCAAAGTTTGATGGTGAAACGACTTATTGTAGGATCGTAATACTTTTAGTATGTTCTGTAAAGACAATGACATATATCGTAAAAAAAATTTCAAGAAAATTGTCGTACAGTAATATTTAACAAAAAATTACAAAAAAGCTATCTTTACCGAAAATTAATCAGTACGATTTCTAAGCATGATTTTTAGAATCGTTAAATTTTCAAAATGGATTCGGTGTTGTGAGCTGAGCCGTGGACAAACATTTTTATCTTTTTCCTAAATTTTAAATTTTTCTAATCAGTTTAGTAGTTTATGGGAAAACGTCGATGAAAGTCTAATTTTGACTGAAAAGCGTTACTAGTATTTTTCAAACTTCGATGAATTTTTAAAATTAAACTACTTGTAGTAAGACCACGATGTATATCGCCAAAAAAAGTTCCATGAAAATCGGCTTAATTTTTTTTTTAACAGTTCATTACAGAAAACGGCTCGGTAGATTTTCACCTAAAATTAATCAGCATCATTCCCAAATGATATCTTTCGAACAGTTTTTGTTTTTAAAATTGGTTCGGTAGGATGAGCTTAAATGTGGACGAAAATTTAACACTTTTTTTCAACAGTTAATTACAAGAAAACGGCTCGGTAGATTTTCACCTAAAATTAATCAGCATCATTCCCAAATGATATCTTTCGAACAGTTTTTGATTTTTTAAAATCGGTTCGGTAGGATGAGCTCAAATGTGGACGAAAAGTTTAACACTTTTTTTCAACAGTTAATTACAAGAAAACGGCTAGGTAGATTTTCACCTAAAATCCTCAGTACCATTCAAAACTAATATCTTTCGAACAGTTTTTGATTTTTTAAAATCGGTTCGGTAGGATGAGCTTAAATGTGGACGAAAATTTAACACTTTTTTTCAACAGTTAATTACAAGAAAACGGCTCGGTAGATTTTCACCTAAAATTATCAGCATCATTCCCAAATGATATCTTTCGAACAGTTTTTGATTTTTTAAAATCGATTCGGTAGGATGAGCTTAAATGTGGACGAAAATTTAACACTTTTTTTCAACAGTTAATTACAAGAAAACGGCTCGGTAGATTTTCACTAAAATTAATCAGCATCATTCCCAAATGATATCTTTCGAACAGTTTTTGATTTTTTAAAATCGGTTCGGTAGGATGAGCTTAATGTGGACGAAAATTTAACACTTTTTTTCAACATTTAATTACAAGAAAACGGCTCGGTAGATTTTCACCTAAAACTAATCAGTACCAGTCCCAACTAATATCTTTCGAACAGTTTTTGATTTTTTAAAATCGGTTCGGTAGGATGAGCATAAATGTGGACGAAAATTTTAACACTTTTTTTCAAATTGCAAAGAAAGGGCTTGGCAGATCGTCATACAAAACTGACAAACGATAGTCCTTACCAAAATACATCAAATAGCTTTTAAATTTCTAAAATCGGCTCAGGCGTTTTTGAGAAAACGTCGATCAAGGTCTAACTTTGACAAATGCCAAAAACACAATACCAATTTTTGCAAACTTTGACGAATTTTTAAAGCTGAACCTGTTGTCGTAGGGCCGTAATATTTTAGTATGATATAGAAGACTATGGTATCTACCGTCAAAAAAATAATCATAAAAATCGTCGAATTTTTTTTTTTTTAAACTTTATCACAAGAAAACGGCCCGGCCGATCTCTACCAAAAACTAATCAGCACGATTCCCAACCAATATCTTTCGAACGGTTTTTGAATTTTCAAAATCGATTCATAACTGCGGGTTAAAACGTGAACGAAAGAGTTTTCACTTCTCTGCTATTTACGAAGAAACGGTTTGGCCGATCGTCGCACAAAACTGACAAACAATAGTCCTCATCGAGATACATCGAATGACTTTTAAATTTTTGAAATCGGTCCAGCTATTTTTGAGAAAACGTCGATTTACGGCAAAAAATCTGTTCACACACACACACATACACACACACATACTTTTTCCGAATTTGGTCTCATTCGATTCAGAATGGCTTGAAACGTCGAGAAAACATAAAATTAGCTAATCGAATTTTTTTATGAAACATAAACTTCTCCTTCGGGAAGTTAATTATAGATGAATTAAGTATTTACGTGTGCAATATTTCTCCTTTTTTAAAATGGAACATTTTCATAAACTATGAGAACTGATTAATACATGATGAAAAACTGAAATACCTAAAAATGGATACGACAATTTTTAATATTTTTTTTAAATATTGCGCATGTTACCTTCTATAATTTAAAAATTTTGCGTGATGCAAATACTATGATTGAATTTATTGACTTGATGTTGCATAAATTTAAGACCAAAATCCGAGAATATATTAAATAAATATTTCCGTGTGCAGTCTTTAGTATCTTAGTTTTCTCTTTTTCTTCTATAAAATTTTTATAAATTATCATTGATTAATATAATATGAAAAACTGAATTTTTTGAAAATACATTTGCAAATTTACTAATTAATTGTCAAAATATTGCTAAGACAGCCTTCAATATATATTGAAATTTTTTGTGTTCAACTAAAATTAAATTTATTGAGTATTGAGTTTTTATAAAACGAAAATCTAGTTAATTTCTAATCTTCTTATTACTTAAATATCAACTGGTTTAGATAAGTAGAGTTTTCACAGATTCACATTAAACCAAAAACTTCACATAAATTTACTTTACATTAATTTAATTTAAATAAGCATGTTTGGCTTGGGTTTTTTTACTTTGAAGTACAATTGTTTTTGTATTGTCTAATGTAATAAAATCATATGAAATTTTTTATCAATAATGGAGAATATCAATAATTTATAACAATTTATCATAATTCTTTTTTATTTAAATATTCTCTCGGAATTGCATAATGGATAAAGAATGAAAAATATACATTTTTAGCTCAACAATGCGATCGATTTTGCAACTATTTATTTAACTATAAAATTTTTAAAAATAATAGTTTTTATGCACAAATTGAAAGTTTACGTAAAAAAATTATCTTTATATGCATATTTACTTCTAATAGTTTTTTTTTAAAAAAGAGAATATTTTTATAAATCAGAAATTATTAATACGAGATAATAATCTGATAATAATTACGAGATAATAATCTGAATTATGAATTATCTGAAAATAGATTTGCAACTTTAGTGATAATACTTTAAAACATGAACTCATTTTGAAAATTTAATTTATTGATTGGAGAGGTTTCGAGAAGTTTGAAACGAAACTAGAGTGTAGTTTTTTTACATTATGTTGTTTTAGTAAACATTAAGTAACTATGTATCGGTATAAGACATTGAATCTATCAACTATCTATCAACACGCATGAGTCAAAAACTAACCTAGAAATATATTTTTATATGGTAAATTTATTATATATATATATATATATATATATAAATAATAAATGGTAGTCTGCCCGAAGGCAGGTCCATGGTGAGGGAGCCACCACAACAAATGATTTCCTTGCCCTTCATCCCATTAATACTATTCTCTATTCCCATTTTTTTTAAATTTCATAAATGTTTTTTTTTTTAAACTTCTGTTTTCATGCTTCTTGATCATGTGCTTCGGCTTTCAGTTCTCTGTATTTTCTCTTCTCGCGTAAATCGTCAATCGTCTGCATTCTTCTTCTTCCCATTCCTTTTGTTCCTTCTATTTTACTCTCGACGACGTCGTGCAGGAGGCATTCTTTTTGCAAAAGAGGTCCGATCCAGTTTCCTTTCCTTCTCAGATTTGTGCTCAATAGAATTCATTAAGCTAATTAATATTATAAACTTTTCTGGTTTAAAAAAATGAATAAGTTGTTCAGCTGGAGTTCGAGCAGTATGTAACACGAGTATATTAATATCTTAACCAACAACAATAGTACTATGTGTTACAATAAATTGCTCTATCAATGCTTAATTAATTAGTACATCAGCATCATTATTAGCATGTTTAACTTGCATGGTAGCAAAACATGCCTCACGTAAGTGTATGTTGAAGATTTGTTATTCTCGGCGCACCTATTTTATGAGAATGAATCGTGTTATGGCGTAACACAAGCGAACAAAGTTTGGTTTTCTGATGTGGCTTTCTGTGTTTGTACTCTCGAAATAGGCAATAATCTATCTCTCCTGTGCTAACGCTTACAATTTTTTATTTTGGACATACTTGTATCGGTACTTCCAGTCGAAAAGCGTTCACGAATTTTTTAGATAAATAATATATAAATATATTTTACATACAAATAGCCAGTGCTGCGCAAATGAAAAAAGAGAAAAAAAACTAATCCGGCGCAGTACAAAATATATGTTGATTTTTTAATCATTAACCCACAATTTACATAGCCGATCAATTGAAAATTCTTAA